CAGGGGGAGAGCCTTCTCTGTCGGAGCACCCACCCTCTGGAACGAGCTGCCCCCAGAGATCCGGGTGATCCCGGATCTCCCCTCCTTCCGCCGCGCCCTTAAGACCTGGTTATTTCAGCAGGCAGGACTGGCCTAGGGGTATTTTAAAGGGGTTTTAAATTAAATTTTTAGTAGAAGCGGCCAAATTTGAATAGTTTTTAAATCTTTTTTAAATTTTGTATTGTATTGTACCATTGTTTTAAACTGGCTGTAAGCCGCCCTGAGTCCTCCGGGAGAAGGGCGGGGTATAAATTTAATAAAATCAAAATCAAAATCAAATCAAATAAATCTGACTATGAAGATGTACAGGCAGTGTTCTTCAGAAGATGGCCTATCAGAATTGAGCTTATCTGGCAAGGGAGAAGTGTTCTCTTGAGTTGCTTCCAAGCTGTGGAGTTGCATTGGTCTTCTCTTTTTCATTGTTTATAACAAGGGGTCTTCAAACTTGGCCCTTTTATGACTTGTGGACTTCAACTACCAGAATTCCTTAGCCAGGCATGCTAGCTGAGGAATTCTGGGAGTTGAAGTCCACAAATCATAAAAGGGCCAAGTTTGAAGACCCCTGGTTTATAAAATCTGCTTAGATGTATTTCTTCTGCAGGGTATTTAACTGTTAACTAATTTACAGTAATTTAATTGGTTTTAATTGGGTTTTAATTTTATAAGTACTCATTTTAATAGAAAGCTGGTTTATGTATCAAATACATAATGAATTGGGGTGACTTCTGATTTAATATCCAACATAATTGCATTGGATATGTCCATTACTCTATCAGCCAAAGCAAAAATGAGGTAAAAGCTTGGCAGGTTTATTATGGCATAAATGATTTATGACGGTAGAGCAGTCTCAAATGATTTACAAAAGACTTGATTTAAGAAATAATTTTAATCAAATGCATTGACATAATTTCATTTTGTTTTCCTCCTAGGTTTCTCAGACTGATTTTGCAGTATATTGAGAACTTGGTGACTTATACAAGTCCAGAAAAAAATAAATGGGATGAAACCATAGAGCTTACACACAAATCATTGATAAAAATCAGAACCTTTCTAGGAAGAGAACTGATGCTTGTACAGCTAGCTGAAACAAAGAATGTAGTTAGTCCTTGTCAAAATTCTATAGGTTTAACTTAAACAGGCAGTTATCATTTCTCCCCAGTTTATACAGATCAAAAAACTATGTGCATATATTCTCCAATGCAGTGGTGTGTAGATGTGAGTATGAAAGATTTTCTGAGCAAAAAAAAATATATGGCAAAGCCACTGTTATCTGTTGAATATGGGTGGATGGGTATATCGGACGATGGATTAATGGATGGATCAATGGATAAATGAATGGGTTTGATCACATTAGTAAGATCAGTATTATTGCTGCTATAAATATATTTTTATTTTTTTACTAAAGTGCATTATATACGTTACCATAAAAATGTTTCAGTAAAATATACTGATTTGTAAATTATTT